ATGAACAATATAAGGTGACCTCTGGTCCCCCTACTGATGTCTCCTACTGATTTTAAATATAAGGTGTCTTCTGGGTCTCCTACTGATGTCCCCTCCTGATGTACAAATTAAGGTGCCCTCTGGTCCCCCTATTGATCTAAAGTATAATATTAGGTGTCCTCCGGTCCCCCACTGATGTTCAATATAAGATGACCACAGGTCCCCCTACTGATGTACAATATAAGGTGACCTCTGGTCCCCCTACTGATGTACAATATAAGGTGTCCTCTGGGCCCCCTACTGATGTACAAATAAGATGATTACTGGTCTCCCTACTGATTTAGAGTATAAGATAACTTTTGTTCCCCCTTCTTATATAAAGTGCATTATAAGGTTTCCTCTGGTCCCCCTACTGTTATTCAATTTAAGGTGACCTCTGGTCCCCCTACTTATGTACAATATAAGGTGATCCCTGGTCCCCCTACTGATGTACAATATAAGGTATCCTATGGTCCCCCTACTGATATACAATATAAGGTTACCTCTGGTCCCCCTACTGATGTACAAAATAAGGTGGCCTCTGGTCCCCCATATGATGTAGAACGGAAGATGACATCTGGTCTCCCTTTTGATGTACAATATAAGGTGACCTATGGTCGCCCTAAAGATGTGCGATATAAAGTGACTTCTGGTCTCATTAACTTTTTATTACCTGTGGTATTCGCATAAAGATTATGGAAACAAGCGGAAGTCTTATATTGTCCATCAATAAGGATTTCATACTTCACAAATTGTAGTATATGAATGAGACAAAGGTAATCTTATGTTGTACATTATTACGATGTTATTGAAAGTTGTAAGTAGGCAATAATTTAAAATCATGGTATGTGTAGAATTATTTTTCAAATCCTCTCAAAAAAAGAATTGCGACCCTAATTTTTTGACCGAGGAAAAAGTGCACAATTTCTCCGAATTCTCTAAATGTACATGTATGTAATTGGAATTTGGAGGATTAGTCAACTTGCTTGTCTTCAAATACAGTATATGTATCCCAAAGTCCAATAACAATTGGTGCATTTTTTAAATTTTATTTCCTTTTTTTAATGTAGTTTTGACGGGTTTGTGAATTTGATGTGTTAATTCCAGGGAAAGGGGAGGAGAACTCCACACAGCCCCAAACTTTGTAATACAGGGTGTACATCTTCTTTGTAAGATAAATAAAAATCAGGGATTTCCGGCAAAGAGTGTTAAAGTGATGATGTCGCCTATTTAAGCATGACCTCATAAGGAAGACAAAAGAGACATTAAATAATTTATTAACAAATAATTATTCCATTATGTTAAAGGATTGGTGAAAAGTCCGAGCGAAATGAAAAGGGGGTGGTAGGGGGCAAAATCTTCACCCCCCCCTTCGCTTGTTAGAGATCTGCGAATGCAGAGACTGGATGTACGTCGTTTACTCTGAGTCGCTCACTATTAGTAAGGAGATCAGAGGTTAGGCACTGTGTTATATAGATACTATAACCTTACATGGAATAATAAAACCATAGGGGAGACCACAGGTCACCCAACATAATCCATAAATGTTAAACTCTAATATATCATACATCTTATAATATTGAAGTTAATGTTGCTCAGCAACCCCCCTCCCCCTCTTTGTTTTCTAATACCCATCACAGATGGTTATTCCCGTGACAAAAATAAATTTTCTGTTTTTTTTACACTGAAAAGGCTTCACAGTATTACGATTTATTCTATTTTCACTTTACGTTTGCAACGCACTACATTTTGTAGCGGAGTAAACAGACCCGAGAGACGTGAACTGCGCGGGGGACCTAAGGTCCTAGTTCAGCAGTTTATTTGTTTATGTCTGACTTTTCAGATAGATATTTACTAAATTTATCCAAAACAATTAATTTAAATTGAAACAATCCTCCAACTATTACTTTTTATACGTTATGTCAAAAATCTTGACGTGAGCCCATTGCAGAGGTGTCTGAGAGAGGAACGAACGACAACTCTGCATAGGAGATTGCCTGACTTGGCCAGGATTGACGCTTGAAGAAATCTTGACTGCGTTTGGAAGTAATATATCCTGGCGCAATGCAATCATGACCGACCAAGATAGATGGTCATGTTGTCAATCCTGACTCGGTCAACATTGAATCATGACCCGGCCAAGATTGGATGGTCATGTTATCAATCTTGACTTGGCCATGTTCAATCTTGACTGAGCCATGTTATCAATCTTGACTTGGCCATGTTATCAATCTTGACTGAGCCATGTTATCAATCTTGACTGCGCCATGTTATCAATCCTGACCTGGCCAAGATAGCATGGCCATGTTGTCAATCTTGACTTGGCCATGTTATTAATCCTGACTACGCCATGTTATCAATCCTGACTTGGTCAAGATTGAATCATGACCTTGCCAAGATAGGATGGCCATGTTGTCAATCCTGACTTGGTCAGGATCTTGACTTGGTCAAGATTGAAACATGACTTGGTCAGGATAGGATGGTCATGTTATCAATCTTGACCTGGTCATGTTATCAATCCTGACCTGGTCAAGATGGTAAAAATCCTGACCTGGTCATGTTTAAATCTTGACATGGTCAGGATTGATAACATGACCAGGTCAAGATCGTTTTTCAATGAAATATATAGAACATGACATGGGGGTCCCCTGCTTTCCATACAACACACGTTTCGGTCGAACACGTGTTTACTCGGTGTTTATTTAGACCGTCAATTTCATTTATCAATTTCCAAAGAAATAAGTGTGTCATAAGATGACAATAAACGTTCTAAAGATTGCTCAAAACGTTCTATTCGAACGAAAAATTTTACCACTTCAATACGCTTCATTGAATTTGCATATTTTGGATCAGAGGTTGTGCTCTATATTGAAATATTGAAAAAAAAATCTTCAATTTTATGCCATTTTCGAAGGAGTTTACAGATTATGGGGGAAATTACGCATTTTACGACGTCATAATGCATTGCCTAAAGGGGAAATTACATCATGTTCAATAGATACATGGTCACCAAGAGTCCAAGTGAAAAATACTGCATTTTCAGCCTAAACTAAGCAGTCTTAAGCTATCAGATATTCTAAGGGCCAAAAAACCCAAGTGGCTCTTGCTTTTTATAGGAAAAATCTAAGTTCTTGACTTTTTACATTGTCCTTTTTAACTGTAGGCATAAGCAACAAATCGTCATTTTCATTCAGCAAGTGTCGCCCGCGTGGCGCAGTGGTTAAAGCGTCTGCTCTAGAGTGGCGAAGTAAGGAGTCAATCCTTATGTCGCGGGTTCGAATCCCACTGTGGGACGTGGACACCGGTCCCATGTCGCAGTAGGTGCTGGCACGAAAAACATCCCTCCCTGCTCAATGGGCCTGAGTGCCAAGTATACTAGGACAAAATTAGCAGCTCTCAACCGGCAAGTGGTGGCGTCTTCATATAAGTAAAAACTTCTAGAGAGGGACGATACACAATATACAATCAATCAATCACATTCAGCAAGCAATTTCCAAAGCACATATACCTGTCATTACCTTGGAGTATTCGTGACCCACTTTTACACAAAAATTCCAAAGTTTTACTTTGGCCATATCTTTTGAACAGTAGATAGGGCTTTCATACTTCAAATATGGCATCCTTGTAAGAAGATGCTTCATTGCATACCAGGCACTTTGACTCTTTGACAATGACCATGTATTTGGCCTACTTTTAAGAAGCAAACCTTGACCATAACTTTTTAAGGGTTAGGGCTAGTGCTTTCATACTTTATTTAATCCTTGTGATAAAGTCTTTCATTTGATAGCAAGACCTTTAACCTTGACTTTGAAGTTTGACCTACATTTTAAAATTTTGAACCTTGGCCATAACTCAGAACAGTAAGGCTAAGGCTTCCATACTTTACATATGTATTTTTTGTGGTTAGGCCTTTTCTTGGATACTAATGACTTTTACCTTGAAGATTTCCGTTCCTATGAAAAAACTACATTGGCCTACTTTCATATTTTATAATCGTATTTCCGGTGAGAATATCCTACTTTTGGAACCGATATATTAAATTGCATGTAAGAAAAGTTTAATCTTTGCTACTTGCCATACGGGGGCATCAGTTTTTCATAAACACATCTTGTTCTACGTGTATGACTTCGTAAAATTCAATGAATATATTTTTTTTTTTTACTTTTGAATATTTCTTACCGTAGTAACATGTATAATTATATTGATTTATCACACATGTTTATCAATAATTCAAGACACCAGGCCTTCAACGTTAGAAAACAATCATTACCAATTGTTTGCTTCGTTGCAATTGTAAACTATTGGGCTCTAAACGTGAAAACTTTAAAGAAAAAGTGCATTCTTCTAAATTTTAGGCATGTTGCCATGGTAACCCTAATACATAGCACAAATTTTTATCCGATTTTAGTTAAATGTATCAAAGACATTCACCATAAAGAGTTTGGAGGGTTTGGAGAAGTTCTGGCAGAGCTCTTTTACAAAAGTTCAAGTCATTACAGAGAATGGCTCTTAAGATTCATAACTGCATGGACAAAAATGACATTTCAACCTGGCAAATCTTGAAAGGAATAATAGACATTTACGTCATTAAGAGTTATCTCTCTTATCAGAGTATCGATCGATGAACCTTAAATATCAACAGATAAATAGCAAAAACATGTACGTGTACGTCTAATTATCTTTACACGTAAATGTACAGTGCTGTAATTCTTTCTGTTCAATATGCATGATGTTTCTTTTCCCTATAAGGGATAAATTTTAGTCTTCCATCTTCTATCTTTTTCTATGGATTAGTAATTATTCTTTGTTTAAACTTTTCGACATTTTTGAAGCAGAACCCTTTTCGCCTTTTTCTCTTCTCCCAGAAAACATTTTGAATATTTTGAGAATTCTCTAACAAATAACAAATTCATAATGGCATCAATAACTCTATTACCGGGTTATGAAATAGACAGGAAGGAAAAGGCTCTTTAGTATTATAATTCACATACATATGGTTGATTTAGTTAGAAACCTACAATTCATATGTTAATGAAACGATATGGAGCTTATTTCTTTTTTCTTTGTATTGACCTTGCAAGTTAGCTTTTCATTGACAACTGGGTTAATTAATGGACTTGGGATTTGCTTGTACAACGCGTAAGTAGATATATCAAGTGAATTTATTTAGTATATTAACTGTAACAGTCTATTGCATATTTGATGTTCAACTGCAGGAAAACACGAGGATGTTGCAAAAATTATAAAGAAGTGGATGGCTCTTGTGAGAGTAAGTTGAATTTTCTTTTTAAAATACAAGAAATATAAATATTATATTCATGTGAATTATTTCCATTATAGTATAGACATAATTTAAGAAAGGTAGGCAAGATTTGACTATAACTTTGCTTGTTTGTTTAACGTCCCTTCCAGAAGTGTTTACTCATATCTCGGCGCCAACACTTTTCGATGGAGGGTTGCAAAGTTTTAACCCGCACTCGGCTTTTACGGCTCTTTAGCAGTGAGAGATTTCTTTTGGAGCCAGCAACAATTGCAACACAAGTTCTCGGTTTATATAGTCTCAGATGCTGTCCTTCCCTTTCGACTCTGGAGCAACTGCTTTTGCCACTACGCTATGTGGGTTAATGCCATAAAATTGGATAATGTTTTCGGAATGAATAAATACCGAAATAAATACAATCCCATTTTCGTCTACATACATGTACCTCTGAATTTTAATAAATGTTATCAGAATTTTAATTTGAGTTTTATTAGGAATGCTGAATATAATACGAACGAGCAAGTATATGCTGACATCCGTCAATACCCTCACACATAAAAAATAATCTTCCAAGTAACATGATTAACATAATTTTAATTTAAGGGCGTATCAATGATCCAGTGATTGCGTTCGTTCAGCAGAGAGGTGGTGTTTAAGTCGACTCATCGTTGTGAACAACAATTTAAAGTTACTGATGTTATTAATTTATTAACCAATGAGAATCTATTCGCCATTTGAGAGATGTTAATTACGTAGTGTCAAGAAAGTCACGCCCCACTGAAAGTACAACGTTAACTGAGAATCGTACGAAGTTTTTGTTGCATAAAATAAGACTTCAAACAAAACTTCCTAGACCGATTGACTCAAACACACACTTACTAATATGAGCATGCATGTATTTGATCCATAATCTGGTTATGTACACCCTTATACAATATCATATAGTTATGGTGCCAGCAGAAATCGAAATATTTTATTATAATATCGAATCACATGCTTTAAACGGAAACTTACTATGAAAATAAAGGCCATACAAATGGATTGAATAATTATATTTTCCTGTTTATTTTAATTCACACGACTTTCATTAAAATGTCTTGACTATCCTGATACATGTATATGATCCATAATTCACGGAAAGAAGAGTTTTGCATTTAATTTTTTTTGGGGGGGGAGGGGTCTTCATCTGCTTATTTCTTTAAAAAGGTTTCACTAGCAGTTGCTAAAAGGTTGTTTTGTTTGCACATGGTTGGTAAATATATGAAGTTATAATCCATTATTAGTACATGCATGTTCTCTCTTTATTTCAGTAAATTGAATAAAAATTTGAATTGTTAAGTATTACACGGACCAAAAACAAAGGTGGTTCAATTTTCGTAGAACATTTTTAAATGGACACATTGGGTTCGAAAAGATATTGTCTGGAAAGCTTGATTTTACCACAATGAATATGATTCATGTGTGTGTATTTGCAATTCAGTTTGTTTTGCAGGGGAAACTGGACTCTATGATGGACAAGGAGTTTGCAAGGATTTCAGGTAATTGTGTTATACATACATCGGTGTTCCAAAATGACAGAAGTGAATAATATTAAATGAACGTAGTTACTTGTTTCATTTTATATTCATCTGAAGTGGAAATATGAGATGTTGCACAAACTATCAAGAAAAGGAAAATCACTGCAAACGTAAGTGGATTTTAGTTTTTGTAGTTAATGAAAAAGAAATAAAAAGTATTCTAAGTATTCCTATTATTTTTGTATGTTACTGATTTTTTAAACATAAAATCGAATTCAAAATGAAATCTTAAATTTAAGAGGTAAAATCAATGGATCTCGGCCAAATATTATTACTCATAAGACATTGTAAATTAAGTCACTGTTCATGCGTTTTCGTACATGCGTTTGCTTACAAAATTTAAAATCATACCAGGACACGTTAAATAATTTGACAATACATAATCCTCTAAAGGCCCAGTATTTCATTTTTGTACCATTTTTTAAATACAATTAGTGAGTTAGAACATTCTAATATCTAGTTATTGATTGCTCCCATGCATATGTCATTTTGTGAATAGTAAAATAAAGTAGTTCTCCAAAGGAAAAAAATCTGTCCATAAGTCCATGCATAAACACCACAATACAAGAAACACTGCTTTTACAAGTGGGAACATTAATCTGTTCCTTCTACCCTAGCAATACAATATCAGTAATACATTTGAAAGCAAAGAGCAAATGCTCTCTAAACGTTAAATGCTAATTTTACATTTTTAGAAAGAAGACATGTATTTAGTTCTACGGCAATATTTATACTCCAGAATTTTGAAGAAACACTTACGAAGGATGATCAAAAATTAAAGTTCGCGAACTAATTGAATAACTGCTATATAAGAAATGATATAGAGTTTCAACGTTGAATTTTTAGACTGGGTCACATGACCTCGTCAATTAGTTTACTTTCAGTTGAGGCCTCAAAACGGAAGCCATAGGGAGAACACACGAATTGAATCTACGCTAAGAAAAAGAGTGCAGAAATTGTTTCGATCAAAATACAAACACGCTAAATTAAACAAAAGCCAATGATTCGAAGATTGACGGACGGACAAACCGATTAAAGTATACTCTCCCATATATATTAACAAAGGCAATACAATATAATCCGCACAAATACGGGTCTCCATTTTACGCCAATACCCCGGACAATGATGCAGTCAGATGTAATAAATGCAAAGTGTAAAAATTATCTGGCATCTTCTTAGAATTTGAAAAGTCATATTTTCGTCTATAAATAAATAAAACGGAACCAAAGCCAACTTGGATTTTAGCCTATCAAGATAGACTCACCAAAATCAGGGGTGCGTTCAACAGCGTAGCTACTAACCTAGCAGCTAGGTTCTAGATATCTACCTCTATTGAACGGATAGCTAAATTTAGAGCTAAACAAACATGGCCGACAAAATGCGTATGGTTGTCTTTTACGTTTAATTTATTTATGGGAAATGGATTTTAATGTGCATTATGAATCCGGAAATTTCTGAATTTCAGTTCTGAATTTTTCAGACTAGGATAATATCCGGTTATACTCAGACGATAGAGATTCCTGCGTTACGGAAAAATCCACCGATAACATTGACTAAGAGTGAGATTTTATGTATCTGATATGCATTTCTGTTATATACACTAACATCTTAAGTGCTTTCAGATATGATAATTTCCACTTTTCTTAATTTTCTACAAACGGAAAGAGTTGTATAGTCTGCAAGGTAATAATTATACGTTACACACTGATCATGGCAAATGAACAATCTGCTAAGATGCTGGCACTCATACCATGCTTATTTGAAGCCTTAGACGACCCCCCTGAATTATTACATTTGTTAGGCTCCGACAGTCATGTCAGTGGAGCGTCTGGAGATGTGGTTTTAGCTGCTTCTTTACACCAGCCTGCATTAGAATTGTTCAATCACCGATTGATGGGTTTTGTAGAGCATGATGTGCCTCTGTATAATGACTTAACATTCAAAGCCCATTTTCGAATGGTCAGAAGCACATTTCAGGTGTGTATCTTAATCATTGCAATGTACATTAATTATTTTTAGTATTGCAGGACTCAACATCCATCCACCTGCCATCGACATGGTCTGAACTGCCTTTAGTTATCGCTAAACGGTGTCTAAGAATCAATGAAAATGATGGTCGCTGGAAAAGAGACAGACTACAATACTCCCAAAATACTTTTCATGTCAATCTCATTGAGATGTTATGTAAATTAGAACTATGTCATTGACAATAATATTATGTATTTATTATTAAAAGCTTTGAGAACTGTATAACATGTGTGTTTACTTAATCTATAAATTATATGTTCAACTATATATATGGTGACATTTTATGACCATGTTGAAGAAATATTAGATAATTTTGTTCCATAAAGCAAAATTGAAAAATGTTATATGACAGTGCTGTAGCTGAGGAAAAAAAGCAAAAATCAGTTCAGTATTAAGAGCTTAAGTGTTCCTGCCTATCCCTAACAAAAAAATACTATAGTTAACTATAGTTAACTATAGTTTACTATACTTAACTATAGTGATAATTTTGAGACTTTGAAAACTGATTTACTATAGTGATAACTTTGACACTTTGAAAAACTTTGACAAAAACTTTGACACTTTGAAAAACTTTGACAAAAACTTTGACACTTTGAAAAACTTTGACACTTTGAAAAACTTTGGCGAAAACTTTGATACTTTGAAAAACTTTGGCGAAAACTTTGACACTTTGAAAAACTTTGGCGAAAACTTTGACACTTTGAAAAAACTTTGGCGAAAACTTTTACACTTTGATAAACTTTGGCGAAAACTTTGACACTTTGAAAAACTTTGGCGAAAACTTTGACACTTTGAAAAACTTTGGCGAAAACTTTGACACTTTGAAAAACTTTGACGAAAACTTTGACACTTTGAAAAACTTTGGCGAAAACTTTGACACTTTGAAAAACTTTGATGAAAACTTTGACACTTTGAAAAACTTTGGCGAAAACTTTGATTTACTATAGTTAACTATAGTAAACTATATTTAACTATAGTATTTTTTTGTTAGGGATATCCCTAAAAGGAGGGGTGAGGGTATGATCTAACAATCTTCAATGATTCTACACTCTTCTAATGACTATCTGAGAATGATTCAAAACGAGTTTTATCTTTCCCTGTCTAAGGGTTCTTAAAAAGAAGACTTAAAAAATGCTATTATTTTTTCGCTAACTTGTTTAAATTATTTCCCCTTAGAAGAGGATGTGGACATTAATTTGAAAGGAATAAAAAAGCTTGAAACCCCTTTAGCCAATACTTTGTAATAATCTTGGTTTAAATTAGCTCCTTTGTTCTGGAGGAGAAAGTGTGTGAAAAACAATATAAAAAGACAAGTACAGTGTAGATGCATACTCTGATAAACAGAAAAAAATGGTTAAAAAAACCATCTAAATTGAGCCTTCCAGCCATGTGCTCTGAAAACTTTTCTTAATATATGGATAAAGATTGGAGGTCTTTAAATACAGATATACAAATCGTTATTTTACAGATTGCGAGGCATTTGGACAGTACCAAAATTGCAAAAAATTTATGCTTTGAAATATCTTTTTTAAGAAGAAGTCTCATATTTGCAATGATGTGTGAACACAAATTTTCATAACAATTTCTGACTCAATTTGTTTGCACATTAGAATATTGACATTTTGGCTCCTCCCTACCATGGCGGTCATTACTTAAAAAACACTTGAACATACACTATATGAGGATCCTTCTATATGAGTTATAAAAAATATTTTTCATATAACCATATAGAAGGATCCTCATATAGTAGTCACATACACTTTACTTGACTTTTTATATTGTTGTTCACGTTTAATTAAACTTTCACAAAGGAGCTAATTTATTAACCCCGGTATATTATATATAGCGTTATGGTTTTATATATTTGTCTTTGACCATAACGCTAAAGATCCAGTAATGCAAAAAAGTTGCAATTTACAGCGCATTTAGACCCCCTAATTCTAGTGACATTTTGTAGCCAATTAATATAAATTATCCACCTCTCAAGCATTTATAGTTCTCTCTACAGACAAACAAGATGCCCATGGGCCACATCACTTACCTGAGCACTGTGGCTAGGAAAAAGTAGAAACTGGTTTATTATTGAAAAGTTTAAATCCAAAAGTAGTCCCATGACCAATCATAGCTTTGCAATTCTTGAAGAGATAATTTTTAAAGAATTTTCTTATATATGTCTATGTAAAACTTTGATCAGCCATTGTGGCCCCGACCTACCCCTGGGGGTCATGATTTGAACAAACTTGAATCTACACTACCTGATGCTTCCGTATAAATATGATCAACTATGACTTTGTTATTCTTGAGAATAAGATTTTTAAAACAGGCCACCAAATTTTCATTAATTCCCAATTATCTCCCCTTGAATGAGGGCATGACCCTTCATTTGAACAAACTTTAATCCCCTTCACCCAAGGATGCTTTGTGGCAAGTTTGGTTGTAATTGGCCCAACGGTTCTTGAGAAGAAGTCAAAAATGTGAAAAGTTTACAGACAGACAGACAGACGCGTAAAAAATTTGATCAGATCACGATTAAATTTTTTTTTGTTAGAATGCTGAAAATTCACTTCAAGTGAGTTTTTAGATCACCTGAGCCGAAGGTTCATGTGAGCTAAAAAATCACTTGAAGTGAATTTTCAGCAATCTAACAAAAAAAAATTTAATTACGCGAGTTTTTCACTTGAAGAGACGACTATAAAGAATGTGCTTAGAATTAGGGTGGTTGATTAACCTTTTTTTGAATTACGGGATCTGTAGCGTTATGGTCTGCAGCTATAAATGAACAGCTGTATGCATTTCTCCATCAAATTATAATTAAGATACATGTGTATAACTTGAAAGAATATATGCAAAAAAGAAATACATATATAGTTGAAAAATATATGCTTAAAATGACTTTACATGCAGATCACGAGTCATGAAACAGTTATATAACTACACAAAATCCAATTTTTCAGAGCTTGCTTGAGGCTGTGGCTCCATATTTGGATTGCAGATCCAACACACTGGAAACAAAAGTTCTCTCTACCGTGTGGCTCCTCAGCAATGCCGAGTCCTTCCGTGGTGTAGCTGACCGCTTCGGACTGTCAAAAGGAAGCCTGCTCCACATTTTTCTTTCCGTCTGTGAAGCCATGAGACATTTGGATAGTGTTGAGTGGCCAAGTGAGCAACTGATGAAGGTCTCAGCTGGCACTTTTCTGGCAAGGCATGGCTTTCCAGGAGCGATCGACTGCATCGACGGATGCCACATTCCTATCAAAGGACGCTCCGAGGATCGCTCCAGTTTTATCAATAGAAAAGGTTACAGTTCCATTGTTCTCCAGGGAATTTGTAACGAGAACATGCAGTTCATTGACGCCTTTGCTGGTTGGCCAGGATCAGTCCATGATTCTAGAGTTCTCAGGAACAGCCCTATTACTGCTGAGTTGGAGAAGATGCCTGGTAATCTCCATATCCTGGGTGACTCAGCTTACCCCCTTTCTACCTTTCTGATGACCCCATTCAAGGAGACAGGCAACCTGGGTGACCAAGAAAGAAGGTTTAATGTCCTACACAGCACCACCAGATCAATCATCGAACGATCATTTGCGCTTCTGAAAGGGAAACTCAGAAGACTCAAATCCCTAGACATGAGCCTTGAACAGGAGATCCCAGGTGTTGTTATGTCTTGTGTGTACTTGCATAACTTTATCATCAGCAAAGAGAGGGAGGATAATGAGATCATCCCAATCAGAGACATGAACTTCAACTTCAGTACGGCATCCCAGAAACGTGCAGCCATTGCAGCCTGGATTTAAGTCCTACATAGAAAGAGTAAAGAGCCCATATATAGCTTCAGATTTGAAATTAATTTTAAAATTGTGAATTAAGCATTCATTTTCAAGTTCTCATTATTGATATCACCAAAATTATGATAAACAAAACTTCTATGATGAAAATGTTCTCATAAAAAATTGTTGTTTTATAATAAAAAATGGTATTCATTGGGTTCGAACCCTAGCAATAAAAATTCTGAGTAACATTTTTTTTTGAGATAAACACAATAACCACTAGACTACACAAGTCCTAATGATTAAAGCAAAACATATGGAGATAATGAGCAGTATTCAAATGGTATTTAAATCATGTTTGTTATATGACCCTTATTTTAGTAGACTTCAAGTATTTCTGGAAAAGAGAATTTTATGTGATTAAAGTATATGTTTAAGGTACATGGGTCTCTGCTCCAAATTTGGTAATTAAAAAATATATATTTATGAAGATTAACTTTCAAAGAAAAAATGGAGCAAAAACCCACTTATCAAAAAATAGAGTTTATACTGTTATAGTGTGAGAAAATGACTGTTTTTGCCTTCTTTTGTGTGTGTGTATAATATTTCATAGGCATATAACTTCATGAGATTTTTTCAAGTTGTAGATTTTACATAAAGTATACTTTCATGTTAAAGAAATATTTAATATGTAGAATTAAATTTTGGTGTATCTGAGATTTGATTTTTTACCTTCATTTTGTCACGCAAAAGGCTCTATGATCTTCGTGTTCACCCATCCCTTTTATTGGAAAAGTTTTAAATGAAATTTCTTTTACTCTGCAAAGACAAAAAGCTCAACTTATTAAAGAAATATCAAAAAGGCAAACATTTGTTGTACATGAATGAATGAAAAGATTTAAACTTACCAGTGAATTATAATGCATTGTACAGTAAATTCAGTTTAGCAGCCCAGAAATGAACAGCAATTGCAGCTTGGTTATAAATCCTAATAAATAGAAAGAGTAATTTGTTGGAAAAAGAAATCTCCAGTACATGTACATTGCAAAGATAAAGAGCTCAACTTATTTCAGAAATATAAAAAAGACAAACATTTGTTGTACCTGAATGAATGAAAAAGGTTAGAACTGAAAAAGGTTAGAACTTACCAGTGAATAATATGACAGTAAATTTAGTTTTGAGTAAATCAGCTGTTTGCAAGATATTTCTCTAGGAAATGATTATTTTCTTTCTGAATGAAATGAGCTAAGTTCTAAATTGGCAGAAGAGGTAGCTAGCATATCAGTGTTTTGATGTTTACATAGTTTAATAAACCAGAGAAATTAAATTTAAAAGGGCTACTCGATTGCGTGTTTGAGATATTACAAGGTATAACTCATATGTGTGATTTAGATTTACATTCATCGAAATTTCATTTTCTCAATGGGACCAAGAAAACAAGGAAGTGATATCTGAGGGTTCAAGATACTAAATTAGAGGTCACAGTTAACCTGCTGTAAAAGCCACCACACCTGCCCATGTAATTGTTTAACTGATAAACAAAATTTAATAAAACTAAAAAAAAATTATGCCCAAGTAATCAAAGACTTGGGGGCATATAGTTTTTATCCCTGTCTGTCGGACTGTCTGTCTGTTTGTCTGCAGAAAGTTTAACCTTGTCTTTAACTTTTGAGTGGGTAGGGCTATGGATTTTATGTATTTCACATACATATAACTTTTGTCAAGACCTTCCTTTTGATACCAAAAATTTTCCCTTTTGACCATGAGCTTGGAGTAAATCTGACCCTTGCCATAAGCTTGCCATAAGCTGCCCTACATGGGCATCAGCGTTTCTTAAACACATCCTGTCTTCACTGTAAAATCATCAACATTAGAGAGCAAGATCAATTTTTATCAGACAGACAAGTAAACAATTAGGAATGTTTCATTTCAAAGTGCATTACTAGTAGATCTATGTTAATTGATTAAGAGTCAAAGTTTACATAGCTCTAAAGTTGAAATGATTTAAATCATCATCTAATTATTTCAGAGATTTTGATAAGATTTCTGTAAGATTTCTTAGAATTGAATTTTTTTCTCCCATGTTTTTCACAATGTCCTCTCGAAATTTCCTCATTTCCTCCCGCTCCTTATCCCGGTCCTCCTTCTGTTCCTTCAGATAATCTTCAAACCAACCCGGCATCTGCTTGTTTGTCTTCTTCTGTTTCTTGGTGCAGGTTTCTGTTTGTGATTTGTCCTCCTTTCTCTTAGGAGTAGCTGATTGACCATTATTATCTGAATAGAGTAAACAATAAGTGGCATGTTCTCTACTACATGTGTAATTTAACTAATATAACTTTTTAGAGTTTCATTGGGATAGGATATGACATGGAGTTGGTCACATGATCAAATATTATAATGTCTAAAGTACTCTGTAAAACAGTAGGAAAAACAATTAAATCCTTGACAAAATGATAAAACAAAGTTTTCACATGAACTGCTGGTAGCTGCAGGTTCGGTAGATCTGTCCTGGTGGAGAATTTCATTCATTTTGTCGAAGTAAACCCAGGTTGTCCTGCCCGCCCCAGATTTCCCCATGTTGTCCTTGATAGACCTGTAGCTAAAACACAATAGCTTTTATGATAACAAATAAGGAGTAAAAGTAACTTTACAGCATTTCAAAAATTTCTTTTAAAACTGGATATAAAGCTTAGTATACATGTATATACATATTAACAATTGTGTTAAATTTGCATAACTGTATTTAATTGTTCTAGCTTTTACATGCTTTAATTGAAACCTTAAAATTATGTTACATTTTTAAATTATCTCTATATGCACAACTTTAGCAAAAAAAATCTTGATTTATATTAGACATTACTTTCTTTTGTTCATTTTCATTTAAATGCCAATACATGAAGTAACTTTAAAATCAATGTTCCGCCACCAGAAAATCATAAGAAAAGGAAAAAAAAAAGAGAAACCACCACCAGGATTACAATCATTTGGGTAGTGATGGGAATCGAACCCATGTCACTGACTATCCTTACACTACCTACTTGGATTTTTAAGCTATATTAGTATTATATGTAGAATGAAAATGTGGATCTGCATGGGATATTTTCCCATTCAACATAAATTAAAATAAAAAAAAAATCTCTTCCTTCCTGGGAAGACTTTTTTAAAAATATCATCTAAGCAATCAAATGACTCTGAAAAAAACTTAGATACAGTATAAAGAAATTAATACAATATTTAAATAAATAACTATCATTTAGGCAGGATCCTCAAAACAGTGAACCTAAATCTAAGAAATCCAATAGAAGTGTTATGTTCTTCATAGTGACAAAATGTTATTTAAACTTCAGTATTTATCAGTTAGATAGCATGTGTAACCATCAAAATACATGTAGTTATAACATATTTCAAAAATGATATTATGTTTATAGTTATTGACTTAATACATGTAAATGTAAAATGAATTATGGCCATAATCATTAAATGTTTATAATGAATGCCTCAATATAATGCATATACATGCCCAGTGTACATGAAATTGCACCTAGACTTTCAACAACCTATATCTTAACTAATTATAATACTGAGTATACCGAATTTTCAAGTTGTTCCACTTCTTTTGGCATGCAGTGGGCGATTTGTTATATCCAGCAGCGCTCATCTCCTCCCCAACCTTCCCCCAGATCTCATACTTCCTCACAATTGGATTGTCAAAATCCTCCTTTCTCACTTGTACCTCTGAGAGAAGAGCCAAGATCTCCGCTTGGCTCCACTGCAACTGAACTTCTGAAAACATATAAAACACTCAAAACAAAATAAATAAGAGTTTATGATTTTGGTTAAAGACACTTACTTGATTTTTCCTCCGCTATGTCTGCTTTTTCTGGAAAACTGCTGCTGCTTTTAACTAGATTAAAAAGAATTTAATATTCTAAGTTTTCCATACTTAATAAGTTACCTTTGATGTTTCATGTGCCGTAGTAAAGAGATACTTGCCTGTGCTTTCCTTTTCTCCAGAGGGTGTCTCATCTATGTTTTAACAAAATCAAGCATATTATTATTATTTAATCTACATCTTTTTTCAGAGCTCACTTTATATCAAAAAGAATCAATTATTATCTTTATTGGTATGAATCAAAATATATATGTGACAATTTTAGATAAAAAATACATGAGTAAAAGGACTGTTTTAAATTCTATACTAAGGATAAAAAAACTAAAAAGTAATGTATGAAAAATCCCCCCCACCCACCCCCCGGTTTTATTTTGTCCATTTTCTTAAACATAACTATCTATGACTGGGCAAATCATAAATGGAGCAAAAGTTTGCGAGCGTGAAAGGGCAAAAATAACACAGGACGAAAATTAACCCTGTATAAATAGTTTTAAATAAGAGGATACCTTAAATGTAAAATGGAACAAACAATAAACCTCGAACTTATAATGCACTACAAGTAAATACATGTATACCCATCCTGATATATACTTTCTCATAACAATAATAAATCATATGCAGATAATGACTTAACACATGAAAGGACTGAAAACTATAAAGAGATGAAGTGAATTTAAGTAATCATCTAATGTGAATTTCACATAGCTTAGCATTAAACAATGAAATTTTTATTTGAATTTTAATCTGTTTATAATATTTAAAAATTCACACAAATAAATATTACCCGGTATCTCAGTCTCTTCGATGACTTTGGCCTCTATAAGCGAGTCCCTAATTTTATCAATGAATTCCTGATCTGAAACATCAGTTAATATCATGATTACATAAAAACATAATGGAAGCAAAGTGAACTAAAAAATATTAAATAAATGGTGCTTATATAGAAGGTTAGGTAATAATTGAAATTGACACCCCAAGGAAAAACAGCCGATGTGTCAGATGTCAGATGTGACCAGTAAAAAATAAGACTATACAAGTTCAACACAAATACATAGATCTACAGGCTCTGTAAAATAGGAGCAATATAAATTTTGAAACCTCCTGCCCTTATCCTCTCAGCATCATATTTATTCACGACAATCTTTTCATCTTGGTGTTTCCCATCTATAAACTGAACTGTAAACTCCTCATAGAATCTGAAATAGGTGCAAGAAGGTAGCCAGTGCAGTGGCTTTCAATTATCAAAATCACACATCGCATTCAAACATTAATATAAAATATGTATATCGATTAAACATTTAAATAGATTAAACATATTAAAGTTAAGTCTATTCCTTTATCAAGACTACAATCAGAAATTGGGATGTATTATTCCTTCAAATTGGAAACTTCTTTGAAACAGACAACATGGACATGGCCCGGCCCTGGGACAAACGTGTAAATGTTTGTCCAAATATTGAGAATTAGGCCTAATGCACTTCATTTTAAAATTATCAGTATAGAAAACCCTTTATACCTAATATGTATGTACAACACTTAAACAGTATCATACTGAAATAGGTACATATGGTGATAACTGTACAGGAGGACACTGCCCTTACGGTTCCTATGGATTTGGCTGTTTAGAAAAATGTCACTGTACCACTGACCAGTTCTGTGACAGGAAGACAGGATGTAGATACAATTCCACTTCTAGATCAACAAACGGTAAGAATTTCCGAAAATAGTAGGATAAGAGTTAATGTTTTAAAGATAGCTGACAAAAGGTCATGCATGGAAATCATAACATGAACTTTCTACTTTTCTTGAACGCAAATATATATTTATTGATATATATTTTATTTATATACGGTTCTTTATTTCTGTTAAAATGAAGCATCATTACTTAAAAATAGTGTTGGCAAATCGGACGATTTTTAGTAACCGGTTACTCGCTTAATCTTCCGATCGAGTACCCGGTTACTCGGATGATTTTTTGCCATAGTTTCCGTACTTATTATTAATCTCATCCTTTTACTTATTGGTAAAAATAAACCACAAATGCAACATATATAAATTTTAATTTATTTACAAATACAAACTCTAAAAAACACACAACATTTTCGAAGAATATTGATTTTAAATGTCACCTGAAACGATCTGTTTGTTTTCATTTAAGAAAAAAAATCAACACATGAAGAAGATACGTGTCGTGATCGAGGAGAATCAACATAAGTCACTGGATTCCGAATTTTGTTTCAATCTAAGGTGATTTAGCATATTTATATTTCCACCCGTATATGACAACTCCGATTCAGTTCACATAATTTGCATTTGACAGATTCAGTCTTTCTTTTAAAATATATCCACGCTTTAGATGTTTGCGGCGGCATTTTGTAAAAGTATGTTCCTCTGACTATCATTGGTCTAAATTAGGTAATTATAAATCAGGTCTTCAAAGCATGTATCCCTCCTGGTAATCAAAACCCTTAATTATATACGCTGTTAAAACTTATCAAAACAAATCGATCCCAATTTTGCACCAGTAGAGAAAGCCTAACGGTAATTAATTTAGGGAAATGTGTCAATATACAATTACAAATAGCATAAAAATCATTTTATACGTATTTACTATGAAAAATGTATTTTTATCCGAGTAACCGAATAGCAGTTTTACTAACCGATACTCGCATCGTTCGACGGTTAACCGGTTAACCGGGTGCTCGTTGCCAACACTACTTAAAAAATATAATGGAAGCTTTTTTTCAAGCATCATTATCATTGTCATTTCTTATAGAATTTGCAACTTGGAATTTAAATTTACTTATGTGTATAAGTCCCGATTTTTTTGGTTAAAAATGCGAAGAGGGAGAGTCATCAAAAAGAGAAAGCCAAAGGGAGAAAAGGGAAAAAAAGTGAGAGACGGCGAAAGTGATAGAATCATATCTTTGCAGCTTTAGTTTCACTTTCACAGACGGCGGTCAATCGTATAAAATCGCATGCTACCGAGTATATAGACAGCAGCATATCATCCAACGTACAATGTAGATTTGTGTGAGAAGTTTGCCAAGATAATGAATTTTCTTTAAAATTACGGTACCTGCAAAATGCATGGTCGATTTTATAACTAACAGTTACGAAGTCTTACTGACTTCACAAGTTCTTTTTCGCTGTCAAGTAATTTTGATCAACTCTACTGTAATAGCCATTTACATAAAAAAAATCCAAAATGTAATTTTAGAGCTTAATAAAGTAGTTCAGAAGAACTCAGTTCCGTATTCAATGCTTAGGGCATTGATTCATTTGATCCTTTAGACATAACATTGTGTTAAGGGGGGACCTATATCGATCTACGTCAAAGCAGCGTTATGTGACGTCACAATAGCGACGTTTGTGTTTTTTTTCCTGTTGACTATTGCAACTGTGATTATAGCCATAACACTGCTATAAATCAATAACGTACACAATTTACAAAAAGAAAATTATTTCATCATTTAATAACAGTTTATTTGATTTATGGAGTTTGTTAATATTAGAATTCTCTTCCTTTAGTTGATAATTCATTGCAATTTCAGTTGTGAAGAAATACCTCAATGATATATATGCTGATATAAAAATTCAAAAATTATAAGTTAAAATTCAGCAAAGACAGCGGCTTTAATCAGGAAAATATGTTTAATTTTATGATTACCATTACTTTTATTTTCTGGATAAAACTAAGAAAAAATTAAGAAATGTACTTGTACCTATATTTACTTGTTGATTTATAGTGTATGTCGATTTTATTGTATAAAGTCATTCATAGGTTCTATTAGGTGTTGGTTGTTGACGGGGAAAGGGGGGGCAGAATGATTAGAATGAAGAAGAAAAGAATTTATCTATTCAAATTATTTCTAATCAAAACAAAATACTCGTTTTTTTTTTTACAAAATAGTTTTATATACAGATGTTTGTCAGTGCTAACTTACCTTTTTTAGTGCAGAAAGGTCAATATTTATGACAAAAGAGTACGAAAATAAAAGAAAACGTCATATTTCTCGTTTATTTTATCATAAAGGTATACTTTTTTCTTTGTTAAAATAAGGAAAGGGGTCATTTCTTTCAAAAATTAAAAATTACAACATTTTCACACAAAGACTTCTTAAGATATTATTTGTTATGCATGTCGGAATTGTAAAAAATACGACAAGAAAAACGGGGTGATACTTACATTGTGCTCCTTTATAATTTTTCATGGGAGATGAATTACAATGAATTTGCCTTCATTTTAAAGATACAAGTCATATAAATCAAATACATGTTGATTTCGAATGTGATTTGACATTTTTGGTTCTTTTTAGCGCATATTTGGAGTAAAACAATAATGTCTGAAAATAATCTATTTTTAGCATTTTACACTGTTTTTGCACGTGCTCCTGTGTAAAGATAAGCATATAAAGGTATTGTTTTTAATACCTAAAAATTAAGAGCAAGTGGTCAGGAAAGAAATGTCAAAGTTTTGAAAATTTCACACAAAGACTTTTCGGACATAGGTCCCCCTTAACATTTAACTGCTTTATTTAAGGGGTGTTAAGAAAGTTCGTTCCATCATATTTTTTTTTTTCGAAAATAAAAGAAAAATTTAGAACGAACTTTCTTAACACCCTTTAGATCTTTTGAAACAAACGGTACATGTTTGTGTTTTTCATTGGTATGAATATGTTTGGTAACAAGAGTAATAAAACTGGAAATAAAAATAAACAGTTCTATTTGTTTTTCTTGCAATAACTCTTCCAAAGTAAGGTGAGTTGATTTCTTGATAATTTAACCTGAATGTAAATTTTGCCAAATGTTCAAGTCCCTTATATATACATGGCAATTTCATGCAGTTGTCTTTATGTGAAACATTTAAGGAATGAAGCTTATTTCAACTTATGTTATACGATATAACATAACTTGGGGCAATTTACGCTTTATAAACCGCGAAGCGGTTTATAAAAAAGCTACCTCAAGTTATGTTATATCGTATAACATAAGTTGAAATAAGTTTAATTCCTTATAATTTAATTTCAGTGTAGACAATGAGACAATTTTCTCCGGAAAAAAGCTTCAAATATAGCATATACTTTAAAAGTAACGTCAAGCGGAGTGATACGTTTTTAACGTAACTCATTGTGACGTAGGCAAGTTATGTTATACAAAATATTAAGTTCCTCCGAATGATTCAGCCAATGAAATTACTTGATACAAGTGAAATTAAATTATATGGAGATAACGAACAGTATTCAAGCTCAAAAGTCAATTCAAACAATACAAAACAGGAGCAGAGCAAACACGGACCTCTGAAACATCAGAGGTGGGATCAGGTGCCATGGAGGATTTTCTAAAGACTGTGGGCGGAAATCTATCGGAATGGACAGAGGATACCTTGTGTATTTAAGTCGTAATATTTACATTTCCAATGTCTTTGTTCAAGATAAAATTACAACTAATTAATGTACTTTATTTCTACATAAATGTAATGGTTCATCAATAGGCGCGGCTAAAAAAAATCACGTGCGGAGCGGGCCAAATAGAGACAGAATCGGGCCTTAGAGCGCTTGGATTATCGGAATCAAGAGCATGTAAATATAAAGAATAATTGTCAGATTTTTTTTATTTCATGACGATGATATGTTATTAGTGACTATCTTGTTATATTTCGTTTTTATTTAGTTTGACAATCATTATATAGACAGGACCAAGGAAAAAGTATATACAATGAATTCAAGTCAGTTGATCGCCATTGCTATTGATGTTTGCTTTGATTTGATATTATAAACGTGATTCTTAGGAAGGAAACCTAAGCGGACCCAATTGATAATTATTTGTACTTTGTAAGAACATTACAGAAGGAATCACTGTCTCCTTTGTTGGGTGTGTGCCAGGGACATCATTGATACCGCTAGTTAGAAACGCGGGATATTTTAATCCATTAATATACATAAAAGGCTTGAAAATAAATGCTATTTTTGCTAGTTTTTCACATTTCTGTGCTCTTCAAAATACCAAAGCCAAGTGGTATGTAGCAGAAATTTATTTCTGTACACGTTCAAATAAGAGAGCTTTCAACGTGTTGTGAACTTGAGATATTTACAATATAAACTAAGGTTCACCAACAGAAATATTTATATTTTTTAATAGAGTTCTCATTTCTTTTGCAAGTGTTAAAAACGGAATTCAGTTCGTTCAATACTTCGTATGATTTTATAAATGTTTTGTTCCCAGGTACAGAGAGTTTCGACAGAGATGAGCAGTCATACATTATAAGTACGGTTAGCGCTGTTGCTATTGCAGTATTTCTTGGTGTTGGGTTTATCCTTGTCATTATTGTCTTTCTTTACAATGAAAGGTAAGTTTCAAAGTCACTTATAAATGTGCAAGCATGATCTTAGCAAATACACATTTCTTAAGGCGGACAGAAACTGTATGATGTGATCTGTTAATAAAGGCAAAATTAAATAAGGTTAATTGATGAATGTCATCATTTTAACTTACTGTATTGGTTATATACATGTATGCATCTTTTTTTTAAAAAAGAAAAATGTATTTTACGTCAGATAAAATAAGTTATTATTTTTAAGTGAATTTATGTGCTTTAATAAAATAAAGATTGTCTCCTTCTGAATCTTGATATATCTGACATTACAGATTGAAGTTTCTACGCCAGTATTTGACAAGTAAGTAAATGTTCGCTTAGGAATAAAACTAAGCAAATAGGTGTTGGTTTTTAGGTCACCTGAGTCACTCAGGTGACCTATTGTTATCTGTTTTCGTCCGTCATTGTACGTCGTTCGTAAACTTTTGAACATTTTCAGCTTTCAATTTCAACCAAATTTGGTATACAACATGCCAGGCTTGGGGCGAATTACATTATAAAGTAATGCATTACATTACCATTACTTCAACAACTTGGGCATTAAATTACCATTGCCTTTACACTATTTTCTTAAAGTAATGCATTACATTACCATTACTTCAGTAAAGTAATGCATTACCATTACCATTACTTTTGGGTGTTTTTAAACATAGAGATTTATACAAAACTTTGTGGGTTTTCTTTTTCATAAGAATGTATCCACCCCCTTCAAAACTAAACATGATAAATAAAAATTCAAATTTGATTTCAATTAAGTTTTTGCATAAATTACATTGTTGATAACTTACTTTCACAGAAAGTTCAAACTTTTAAAAATAAATATATAAAGTTTTTGCATAAATTACATTGTTGATAACTTACTTTCACAGAAAGTTCAAACTTTTAAATTGTCAGTTATATAACATATGTACAATATCCACTTTTAACTTTTAACTATTGATGTCATGAAGCAATTTAACTTTTGGGGCACTTTAAACCCTAGCTGCCTAAAATATCTAATAATAAAGCTTATAGCTATTTTGATTAGTGCCTTTATTAATTATGAAAAAAATAAATGCAATGACAAACTTTTTGAAAAAGTAGACAGGATGTATATTTTGATCTGCTAATCATATAATGCCTGCATGTCTTCTATTTTCTTTGGTACAATGGATTTTTCATGGTCAGTACAAGCTAGACCAGCTTAAATAATGGTTAATAAACACAGTCAGGGGAAAGGGACTGGTGATTTGGAGCATTCGTCCAAACAATGTTACATAAGCCAGAGGCGTAGTGTGTTTTGATGGCACTCTAGCTATTCAAAAGGTGGCAATTATCAGTTTACACTGTACATTAATTAGTGTACCTCATATGTGAATTAAAAGAAAAAAGATCTTTTAAAACTATTTATATAATTATTTGAAAGCAATTCTTATCTGAAATAAGTTTGAAAACTTAAATTTAAGGTAAGTGTTCTTTTAACAGAATTAAAAGAGTATTTAAATAGGTAGTGAAATTTTATTTAAATAGGTTAACTTTTTATTCAATTTTATCATTTGCAAAAAAAATAAAAAAAAAAAAAAATAATAATAATCTGAACACTAATTTCGATCATCCATGTCCATTTTAATTTCTTAAAATAGGTACATACAAAATAATGCTTTGTAATGCTATGTAATGCAAGCATTACACTTGATTTTATGAAGTAATGCATTACCATTACCATTATATGTAATGCAAAATTTTGGGCATTACACATTAGTAGCATTACTTTGAGATCATGTAATGCATTGCAATGCATTACCATTACAATTAGCATTACCCCAAGCCTGCAACATGCATGGGTGCAGGAGAACAAAAATTGTGAAATTCATGGCCCCTGCCCCCCTCCCCCCCCCATTTGCAAATCTTTAAAAAAAATTCTTTTTTACTCCTGGACAACTAGCAGTCAAACTGTTGGCATGATGATTATCAGCATTAAGTCCTCTACCAAAATCGTGAAATTCATGGCCCCAGGGACAGGGGTTCTGGGGTTAGGGTGGGGCTATAGATCATATAGTTAAAGTGCATTATTTGTTTGAAAATCTTCTTCTCTGCTCCTGTGTATTAAATAAACTAACTTAGTATATAGTTATGATTAGCAAGATTGCCTCTTCAAAAAATTGTGAATTTTATTACCTCAGGGTCAGGGGTTCTGGGGTTAGGGCGGGACTCTATTGATTATATAGTGAAAATACATTAATTGTTTGCAAATCTTCTTCTCTGCTCCTGGATATTAAATAAACTAACTAAGAACATAGCTACATGTATAATGAGCAAGAGTGCCTCAACTAAATTTGTGAATTTCATGCCCCCTGTGTCAGGGGTTTTGCCATTTGCCATTTGCACGGAGGGGGGATCTTTTGATTATAATGTGAAAACAAATTAATTCTTTGAAAATCTTTTCCTCTGCTCCAGAATATTATGCCAATTATGCAAATGTATATAATTTTGATGGAAAGAATGTACATCTAGCAAAATGGTTAATTTCATACTCCTGGGTCAGGGGGTATTCGGGGGGGGGGGGGGGTGTACATATTTGAAAATATATCAATGCTTTGAAATCTGCTCTTTAGTATTAATTTACCATTTATGATAAAATAAAATTTACGATAAAATTTCGAAAATATTGAAATAAGTGGCCCAAGGGTCAGTGGTTCCTTTGGGTTGGGGTGCATAACTGGTTTAAAAGTGGAAGTGCATTTTCTCTTTATTAATCTGATCTAGCCTCGTTATTATATAAGTAACTATAGTAAGCATACAAAGTGTATAATTATGATAAACAATGGTGCCTCTTTCAAAATTGTGAATTTCAGGCCCTCTGGTTTAAAAACACGAACCAAATTCAATTGTTCGAAAGTTGTTGCATGATACTCAGGTGATCTATAAGGCCCGTGGGCCTCTTTTTATAAATGAATATAAACAAAAATTTATGTTTTCTTGAGAATTGAAAATAAATTTTCTCCAAATTCAGTTTTGTTATGCCACTCATGATTTTTTATCTAAAAGATACAATCTTTTAAAAGTGCTTTAGATGGATTAATATTGTTTAGACTTTACATTCGAAACATTTCCGCCTATGATTATGTATTAACAATAAAAAAAAATATCTAAAATAACATGATTTAAATGTTATATCCTCAAAAAAATGTTTGATTAGATATAATATTTTTTATTTTAATGCAATAAGTATTTTGATACCCCGGTTACCCATCAACTGGTTAATTTCTTTCCATAATCCTTTCAAAGCTAGAACACCTTATCTTATCCTCCTTCAATGAGTAAAAAGTCTGTAAAACAGTTTGTCGTGTGTTGCCACCTTTGTGACGTTTAATAATTTGTTTGAAATTCTCAAAAGTATTATTAATAATGACATATAATTTTTAGCAGACACAAGATATCAAGATGAGAAATAAAACCAATTTTGTAAAGGGAGATAATCCAAATTTACAGTAATTACCACTTAGATTTAACAGAAAAATCATGAAAATGGGTCTGAAAACGCTAAAACATAAATTTAAACAACAAAGAAATGGCGGAGGCGGGGCGGGGCGGCAGGAGGTAAATAACAAACTTTGAAACAACGTCCGTCCTCCAAGGATGTAGATGGGAGAAAAGGCAGAGTAACGCACCGCATGGTCAGAATTTCATTTGTTAGATTTTAATTGGTCAGATTTTGATTGGTCAATCTCTGCCTCTCCTACCACGGTAAGACATGGAACAAAATTAACATTACAAAGCACAGCTATACAGTATTTCAGACTTTCACATTCAAGGAGGACACTTATTGATTACAATAAAAATTTTTAAGTAAACTTAAATTTATTTATTTTAATGCAATAAGTATTTTGATACCCCGGTTACCCATCAACTGGTTAATTTCTTTCCATAATCCTTTCAAAGCTAGAACACCTTATCTTATCCTCCTTCAATGAGTAAAAAGTCTGTAAAACAGTTTGTCGTGTGTTGCCACCTTTGTGACGTTTAATAATTTGTTTGAAATTCTCAAAAGTATTATTAATAATGACATATAATTTTTAGCAGACACAAGATATCAAGATGAGAAATAAAACCAATTTTGTAAAGGGAGATAATCCAAATTTACAGTAATTACCACTTAGATTTAACAGAAAAATCATGAAAATGGGTCTGAAAACGCCACTGACTTGACCGAATTAGGGAAAGTTCAGACCCATAAAGGAAAAATAAATGGCAACACACCTCAAACATAAATCATACCAAAAGTGAGTAAAATTTACAAACATGGGAATAAACATATGTCCCGTAATGCAATAAAACAACAATTTGAATTCACAAGTGTCTTATGAGGGATAAACATATGCCCCCATCACAACCAAATGAGTTTACTATTCCTAGTGTATTATGTCTGTGGGTCCCAAGTATTAACGAATCACTATGTAGAATGTCCGATAAGGGATAAACATATAGCCCTTATAGTCGCAAATCATCATCTTATTCGCTGTTTTTTACTAAGTTCACATGTATGTGGTATTCATTTAAGGACTGTCTCGAGCAATGTTTTAGATGAGGGATAGACATATGCCCCCATATTGGAAAATATTTCACACTGTAAGCTTCCGCACCATTTTAAATGTTTATATGCACGCGATCTTGTCACCTACCAGCCTAAGTATTAACAAATGACTTAGGCACTATTGTTCTGGATGAGGGATAAACATATGCCCCCATACGTTAATACTCTTGAAAATCACTTCAAAGTCGAGATCCTACACAAATAACAAAACAAATCTGCTCCGAGGATCCACTTCAACTCAAGCATATATCAACATGGTGTCACATGTCCTATGTAATATTTAAATGCATCCGATTTCCATCTACCCAGGAATCTAATCTGACTATCGCTCATCCCTCGTGATGCACAGTAAGAGGCCATTCCGATTCGAAAGGAATGTTCTTTGAATCTATTGACATCCAAATTACAAAACATGAGGCTTTGCTTTAATATGTTTGAAAATTCTTGCCTTGTGACTGCAGTGTTTTGGGGGTAGCAAAAAAGGGGCCCATCGGTCCTCCCTCTCATCTTAATGTAGTGTTCTAATGCCCCCACTGGACAATATTTTAAAGAGTTGCAAGAATTAATTGTAAGAGTAAAAACTTTACCATCAGAATGTTTATAATTTTGAAAGTGAATCAAAACTTTACTTTTTTGAAAAGTAATCTGTGAAACTTGTAAAACCTTATTAGCAGTGCCAACTGATGTTATCTCTCCTATTCTGAGGAAGCCATGAAAAGCCAATAAAA